TATATATATATATATATATGGTTATTTTGTAATTTAATGAAATTCGATTATGTGGTATATTATGTAAAGGCTGTTATTGGTGGGAGAAGAAGGGGTTGAAATTCATATTAACGATGGTGGTGGATTTTTCAATTGAATTTTCTGCCATTGAAAATTAACGATCTTCCATTAATTATCGGGTTATTCGATTCAATTTGAAAGTAGAATAAAGGAAATTATAACTTTAAATTAGGTTAGATAATTGAATTAATTTATCAAGAAAGATATAGTACAATTTAATGTGAATATATGAAGAATTATTTATATAGATATGATTATATGATTTAAAGTAAAATCTTTAAAATAATATTATTAATTGTATCAAAATTGAAAGGAATTATTAGAAGTTGTTTATAATTTTTTATTATTTAAAGATAATTTACACGATTTTATTATAAGTAATGTTTCTTTTAAAATAAAAATAATATAGTGATTGAAAATTGTTATTTCAAGAAATAAAAATATTTTTCATTCCGAGTAAAATTTGCAAATAAAAAGGTAAATACACGTAATGTTGTAATTATTAAATGTAAAAAATTAATTATGAAAAATGTAATATTAAACCAAACGATTTTACGGTAAGATAAAAAGGAAATTTCCTGAAAATTAATCTTCGATCGTGACGAACGAGGTGGTTCGCGTGTAGAAGACGGTTTAAAATTAATTAACAAAAACCATTTTTGCATCCTCTTCGTCGAAGTATCCAATTAATTTTAAACAACCGATTCGCCTATCAACTAATCTTATCATACCAGAAATTCGTTAATTAGCTCGTAAAACTTGCGTTAATAGGAGATATTCGAGTTGAAAAATAAACCATGATAATAATTTTGATACAAATCACGTAATTGATTGAAGGAGCCGCTCATCGAGACGAACAATTTTATTGTAAAACGAGAGAGAATTGGTGGTGTTAATTTTCTGAGAGTGGATCATCATTGCAGACAAAGAAATTTTCACGTGATGGTTTCAAAATTATCCAGGGCTACGAGTTCAGACCTCCGATCCAATTAATTTCGAATAATCTTCGAACTGATTCGGTTGAGAAGAGGAATTGCAATAATTAGTAGAGACGTTAACGAGTCTGTGTTGATGGCGAATAGTCGATTGATAATATCGTGAAATATGTATATTTTTCATGGTATATTCGTAATATTTATTATGAATGCTTTGTTTCGTGAAACTTTGTATTTTTTTTTTCAATTTTTATTAAATTAATTGAATGGAAAGAGAAATGAAATATGAATTTTATGAAACTTTTTATAAAAAAAAAATAACAAATACAGTATTATCTTTGATACTTTGATGATAGCTTTTTTCCATATTTTTGAAGGATATTTTTCTTTATTTATTTTTTCTTTTTTATTTTCTCATTTCATATTACGTTTATGGAAGTTATGAAGATTAATTTTGTAAAATAGTTAAAATATTCACTATCCATTTTACAGTTAGACATTTCATTTTGGTTGAAATGGTATTCAGAAAATATAATTTATCAAGTATAATTTACGACGCCAGAAAGCACGTAGCAATGTATATTATTATCACGTATAATTTTGTTGCAGAAAATATATTGCAAAATACGTGTTCGAAACTATTGTATTATATTAACATCACTAAACACATCATTAAACAATACTCTCTGAAAGTTTTAATTTTCTAAATTTTGAAACAATTAAAAGAGTTTGAATAATAAAACTTAAACTATTCTTTATTTTTTGTATAAAATGGATGAATAATGTATTGTAGTAGATTTTTTTGTAATAAAAATTAAATATATTGTTATATTTAATAAAGTTAAAAATGAATAACGTCTATAATATCATATATTCATTCTTAATTCATGAAAAAGAATTCAAATATTCTAAGTAAAATTTCAAGCTTATATTATATTTTCTCTATGCAAGAAAATCACAACACAAAATCAATCTGTATCTGTAGAACATTCTAAAAATATAACTTTTAAATTTAATTCTTTTAAAATTGTAATATAACATACATTCTCTTATCTTAATTAAACTAATTAAACTACACGTATGGCAATAACGAAAAAGAACATTGAGGTGCAGTTACACTCCCTAGTATTTAATTATCATAGGATTACCTTGGTATTACGAAGATTAAGACAACCAATTTGAAATTTCAGAACAAACATTCTTCATTCATAAAACGTATATTCGAAAATACATTGTTTTAATAGAATAACACATTGTTCAAGATAAACTAAGAAGGATGAAATAAATCCTCCATCTCATCAACTGTAAAGAAAGAAGCATAGAGTAACCAAGGTATCAGGCGTGTCAAACACGAACATACATAAATTTGCAATTCAGGCGTGTCCCTGTGAGACACGAACACGATCTCGTTAACAAGATAACATTAACTGAAAATCCAATCTCTTTCCTCTCCCATAAAACAATCTGATCGATTGCAAACGATAGAATTCAAAGAATTCTTCGATATATTCATACTCCGTATGAAATAATCTTCTATCTCTCTCAAGAACGTTTCTTTCCAGGTGTAAGAACTGTCAAAGAATGATTCTTCCCATTTTTTTGTCATTAAAAAAACAATAGAAGAAAGGAAGCAGGGAATGACAAAATAATCAAAGAAGACAAAAATGAAACTTGTTGATTGATAATAATAGATTCAAAATTTTACAATTAATCATAAATACATTATAATAAATATTCTATGCTGATCAAATTCCTTATTTTCTTTATTTTTAGATTATTTTCCAACATAATCCAAATCGTTTCCACCGATAAACCACAATCTCAATCCTCTGGAACAGAAACCACGCGTTTGCATATAATATACGCATCGTGTAACAAAATATACTAACACTATAGCAATATCAACAGTCGAGTTTCGAAACTTCCACGATCCACCACGATGCATCAAGATGCATACACGTACGTAATCCAAATCGGCGAGACGCATCAAGGTTTCCCTCGAACCGGTATCACCGCCTAATCCTCTATCCTTCGGTTCACAGGCTAATAATAATGGAGGAGAAGCAAAGAAGCCGGCACGTAGTAGAAAGCTTCGTTCGGTCGGTGGATATTACGTGGACCGACGACGGTACAGTTATTCGCGGGCTTCGGCGGCGTTGGTGGGCTCAGCGTAGATTTGTAGCCTGCAACGAGCACGTTCATCCCCTAAGTCTAACGTCTACTTTGACCTGTTATATATGGCCAGTCTCCTGCTATATACACTTATCGCGCGCATACGTTGGCCACCCTCAAATCCCATCGTGCTTTTTGAACGTGAAATATGGAAGGCTCGCGTCGAGGGTGCGCCTCCTCGAGGATCTCTCTTTGCGAGGAGTATCACGGGGGAAATGCAGTCTTCTCTCTCCCTTTATCTTCTATACGTATGCGTAAGTGTGTGTGTGTGTGTGTGTGCAAAGAGCTTCTTGCGGGTTTCTATGACACGAGGAGGAAATTGGTCAGCTGACGTGTGAGTAGTTTGTCTAAGGGCAGAGCTTGTTGTGTCAGTCGGTGAATTATTTCAATGTGAATAAATTAGTTAGTTTGATTTTCGCGGGTTTTTCTTTTTTGCAAATTGTTTCTTATATCTCGTTCTTTTGTCTTCTGTTTAGTTTCGCTTTATCTTCTGGTTGTTAAAATTTTATTAATGTTAGGTTTTATATTAATTTTCGTGAAATTTTGTTGTATTCAGTGAAGATGATTATGTATATTGTAAAGAGTGATTAATTACGTTACATTTTTTTTCTTTTTTGTGTTGTATATAATATTGTATTGTGTAATATTGTATATAAAATTAATACGATTAAAATGTTTCTCTTTAAGCGAATGTGTTATAGTTGATTCATTACCTTTCAACTTTTTTTTTCAATACTCTTGCACGTGATCATAATCCAAAGTTTATTTATCGATATTCTTAATTTTTCCCAATAATTCTCGAGTCTTTGTTTTGTTTTGATGTTGTTAATTTTCGATAAAAATTCTGTTTTCTATTTTTAATCGTCGATGAACTTGATAATAATAATAAACTTGAAAATTTGTGACAGCCTGATGATGACAAAAGTCGATTACGATTTATCGTATATGGGTATTTTCATGTTGCAAAATGATTCATTGATATGTTGTGTATTGAATGTTGATGAGTATATTTCCATGTTACAAATTGTATTCTCTTGTCTGAATTCGTGATGTACAAAACTGATGATCGACAGAATGTGGGAAAAATGGAGGAAAGTTTAATATCGAGATAGAGACGATTGAACAGCGAATAAATTCGTAGAGAAAGTGAAATTTCGAATGAGATTTGCACAAATAATATGAACGAAATACAAAAACAGTCGACTAATTTATTAAATTGTTATAAATTTTCAAACTTTGAACTATGATTTATTTATTTATCCGTATTAAAGTCGTACAAGTTTACAAGCAATTTTCGAAATTAGATGTTTTGCACAAAATGCTTGATAAAAAAATAAAGATAATCAATATCTATAGATTTCGTATAATAAATTAATTTAATAAGACATCTTGTCGATAATTTTGAATTTACATCTCGTAATAATTCTTTCAAACTATGTATCGACATAAAAAACTTCGTCAAACTCGTCAAAATTAAGTGAAACAAAATTTTGCAGGAGAAGAAACACGATAAGAAAAAAAAGAAAATTGATTAATTATAATTACAGTCTCACTTCGCGAATCTCATTCAATTCCACCAAAGATTAACATCTTCGTAAGAACCTATCCTCAAGAATACGTGTTATAAGAGAAACGTCTGTTTCAACTTGCGAAACACCATTACGCTCTTCCATTACACAACTGCGAGCCACGTCGAATCGTGCTCACGAATTATTCTTGCTCTCCTCATCCTCGCCAACCGTCGTTTGATGCATCGTCGAACTAGCTGTATCACACCATTAGTCAAGTTTCTCCATGGAACATGAGCAATAACAAAGCCAATCAAGTTCAACAGTTTCCAAGACGAAGAAGTCTTCGCACACACCGAAGGCCAATCTAGTTAGCATCCACCCCTCCCCCCATTCCACAAAGATTCCAACCTTTTCTTTTCCGCTTTCAATACAGCCGCAAAATTTGTGTACTCGAATTCTCGTTTCCACTTCGTTATTCACCCCGAAATCCACGATTCTTCCTTTAATCGCTTCGCCCCCGGTTAATTAAAACGCCTTTCAAGGCGCGTTTAATTAAACCGCTCCAAATAAATTCTGTAACATAGTCACGGTTATCATTTATCCACAAGGTTAGAACAGTTATCAGGGATCGGGCTTGATGGTCGATATAAATTCAGTTATATTGACAATTATCGTCGAGCTGTGTGGAGATAATGAGTATGGAACTCGTTCTTCTGATTTTCGTGCTTATTTTGCTTATAAATTAGATTATTAAATTATATTTAATTATATTTAAAATAAAAACTTCTGAATAGATTCTCGACACGTTTATTTTATTTTATTTTTGAAAAAATTATTGAAAAAATTAATAACATCAGACTGTTCGTTCTTTGGAAGTCATATAATTTTTATCTGAAATATTTTTCAATATAAAAAGTTAACGAGATATAACTAATTACATAATATACCGGGTGTCCGAATAGTATTATCTGATATATCATACTTATTTTTGGAAATTTTAAAAAATGTTTCAAATAAAAATCAAATAGTACCAAAAGGTATATAATATTGTGTAATTACTTTTTCTTTGCGATAACACACAGAAGCTTATTTTCTATAAAAAAATACTAAAGCATTCATAGCCAAAATTTATTATTTTAAGAGACATTTAATTATATTTAATTATCTTATGAACTAACAATTTTTCTATATCTATAATAAAATATTTCTTATAGAGAACCAATCTATACATTGATATATTAAAAAGTATATGCTGCTACTTAAAAAAATAAAGTTCAGCTCGATAAGCTTTTTAAAAATCCATCTACGAAAAAAACGAGAACATCAGAATATACCCCTTTTAAAAGCATTCATTTTTATTCCAAACATTTTTTAATACTGTGAATAATAAGCGAGGTAAATAATAAAAAATACAACTATCAAAATTCCTCGATGATGGAAAATTTTTGTCTAAAAATTCGATTTTGTATTAGGAGAACATGATACAATAGGAGGTCGATCGAAAAATTTTTCTAAGAAATGACGTCAAATTCTCGAAATTTCAGAAATTCTTGGAACTGACGTCAAATTCTCGGAAATTTCCAAATGTTCGAATGAAGAAAACTTTTGTCCAAAAATTCAATTTTGTATTAGGAGAACATGACATGATAGGAGGTCGATCGAAAAATTTTTCCGAGAAATGAC